AGAACACAAGAAATCCGTCAGACAGCTACTTAGTGTCAGAACCAAATGAATATTGTTATGTGAGTGTTTTAGTAACGCAGCATTTTGGAAGCATTTTCCCAAGATGATTTCTAATTGGCCCTGTCATAAAGTAGTCGCAAACTGCCTTACAACAATAATCAGTTTGAAATGAGTTGTGCAAGCCTATGACAGAAAGTTGTTAATAATATGCTTCGAAATTTACCTGTGAAATACTGAGCTTGACTACTTTTGAAAAAGAACTGAAAGTAAACGGCCTTTGTAATGCAAATCGATCGGCAGCAAAAAGCGACCACCTTAGGAATCCCTCACCCTCACCTGAGCTTGCAACAGACCTTGGTGCACCCACTAGTTAATGGAATCAAACCTGTTTCAACATACAGGCAAGTGCCCTTCAGTGTCACTAAAGCACAGTCACTAAAGCACAGCCCGTGGGCTGTGGCGAGTCCGTATACACCAGGAAGCCTGGGCCCTAGTCCCGGTGCTTGTGCCCACCCAACAGCAGGACCGCCCTCAGCCTCCCAGGACGAGGGACCGTCACCTGAAGGGAGGGCCAGGACGGTTCCTCCTGTTTCCACCCTTCTTGCGCCCCTCCAAGACCCCTCCTCTTTCCCAGCCCCACCCGAGGGCCGCAGAGCCAGACCTGCGCGGGGCGAGGTGGATTTAGTCCCGTTAGAGTTAAGATGGTATCATTAGCTGCGCACAGCGTGACTTCCCACTAATCCTCTCTGCAACTTACAACAAGTTTAAATGTCCATGCATGATGTTATTAACTGGCTTTAGTAAGTGCTTAAGACCCAGATCTCTTTTTAAAGTAATCACTGAACAAGTTCTACTGTATCCACCCAACAAGGAGATTAATATTTCCAGCAAATCTGATAGGGGGAAGATGCTCTCAGGGTCCCTAATGGACAATGGGGGTAGAGGTGCAAGTTGATCTCGGGAAGGGCCCAGAGCGGTTTACGCTCACCGAACCCCCTCTCCGGATTCACAGAACTTCTTCCCCCAAGATCTTCCCCGTGGGGTGTGGGTGAGGGTGCCTTTCCGTTAGCAGCTTTTCACTAGGCTAAAAATTGGGGGAGGGAGGAAACACAATATCTTTATCACTGATATTGATCACACCCAGAAAAGATGCCTGGGCAGAACTAGAGAAACAGTTTCAGCAAAAAAGCTCCTTAACCACAAGTTGCCTGAAGAAGGATCCCTGGGAAGGCGGAGGCCTGCCTACAACCGAACCCCTGGCGTGACTAAACCCCGACGCCACCCCCATCCACAAGTCCAACTCCCGGGATTCCTAAGCAACCGAAGTCCAGAGCTGGCGCAGAGACAGGGCCGAGGTCGCTGGTGAGGGGCCGAAGGCGGACAAATCAAAAAACACAGAACGGCCCTCGTAGACGCAACTCAGCAAGCCAGGCATTGGAACGCTGGCGGCCCCACTCTGGCAGTGGGGCGGGCGGCCGGCGGTCTCCAAGCCTTGGAGGGCGGGCACTGGAATTTGAGCTCGTGCGAACTTTGGAAGCCTCCTAGCCAGCCACCCCGGCCGCAGCGCGCCCCCAGCCACCCCGCCGCGCGCCAGCCCTGAGCGCGCGCCAGCCCCGGGAGCGCGCGCGCCGGCGCACCAGCTCGGGCAGCTCAGGCAGCCGGTCTCCCGGGAAACACCAATCAGACGCCCGCTTTCAGGAATGGGCTGCTCGCGGTAGCCGGGCGGCGTCGTGCTGCCCGACGGCCGGCCGGCCGCCTTCGCCGCTGCCACTGCCTAACCCAACCACTTTCGCAGCCAGTCACAGAGTCGGCTGTCTCTTCTGTGCGCCGCCCACGCCAAGCACCTTGCAAGGCGGCCGCTAAGCCTGGCTATTTTTAGATCTCAAGAATACGTAGTGCCAGAGCTCAGCTAAAACCCAAACAACCAAGCACAGTGATGTGCTTCTCTTTGAACAGATATGGCTCAGAACTCCATATTTCCCTGAATAAAGTCGATTATCTTCACTTTTTAAAGTCCTACCCCCTGTGGTCTGGCAGTTGTCTGCAAAGCAGAAAGCCACATGCTCCCACCTCAAAGATGGTCATCACCTTTCTAAGTGCACTAACTCTCGTGGCCCTGATTGAGGGCAAGCAGATATTCCTTAGCAATCATAACTATATACTTTTCATTTTCATTCACTATCTTTAGAATTAATTCCACAATAAAATCGAACAATTCCCAGAAGGGATGAAATGGGTTCTCAAAGCAGATGAGAACAGAGGTTTCTGCTGACTTCTGTACTAGGTTAACTTGTGCTAAGAAACCGATGAATACAAGACAGGATAACAAAGCCATCCATTAAAATCTGGAGACACTGAAGAACTACCTTACATGCCCCATCGCTGTACGACCTGTTTAACTCTCTCGAAGTACCAGTGTTAAAAACAATTGACCCAGTATTATAATGTCTTTTTACTCATCAACTTCTAAAGGACACCTTGTCTCCTGTTGCCCGATTCACCACCTCCACCCCCAGCACCCATCCAAATGCAACATCATATTATGGTGTGTTTTACTCTAACTAATTAGAGAAAAGCTAGGTCATGGCAAGACAGAGTGGGGAAAGGTTATCAATATTCTTATCACAATGGCATTTCCAGATCTATAGAAAAAAACTAGATATATAGTTATACATTGTCTTTAATACATTTATTTTCTAGCCACATTGGAAAATAAAACCTTTGGTTTCATCTTTCCATTTTTAAAAAGTCAAAATTCTTAACATGCTAAACTGTCTTGAACTGTTTATATGTAGTCTATGAATAGGAAGAACGTTTATGAACTTGAAATGTACTTATCCTTATCTCTTACTATTTAAGTGGTTTCTTAATTTTCATCAAAGATTACACAAAATCAAATTAGCATTTCACGTTTTTCCAAATAAGAAAATTATTTTAATTTTTAAAATAAACACAGAGCACAAGTAGAAGAAATTTAGTGTTTAAGAAGACTTAAAGAAAGGCCACTTGGAGAAAAAAATTCATTTTGACTGTAAATAGTGCATTTATCTCATTACTATGCACATTAATGGTAACTGCACTAGGGGGCTGATACTGGTAAATATATTCATTCATATCCTGCAAGGATATTGCAGAAGTCTTCCTATACCTTATTTCACCTCTATCTAATTTCCATTCCTGTTGTTTTGGATTTTTCTGTATGACTGTTTTTATGTTATATCCTCTATAATTCTATCACTGAGTGACATTTCATTGTTAATTTTCTGGCATAAAGTAGGACAAGGAAAATAAGTTGGTTATATCTTTATATTTACTTTTACAGGTGTCATTTTATCGGCCTATTTCTAAGTATTGCATGAAAAGATTCTAGATGTCAAAACCTGCAGTTAATGTTCCTGCTTAGAAATACACAAAATAATACCTTTGACGTTGGCAACTCAGATGTATTATTCACCAAAACAGCAATTACTCATTGTTTTGCACTTACATGTTAAGAACTATGCGACACTTGGTGACACAATAACAAAATTGCAAAGTCAATTATATTTAAAACAGACATCCTAATAAAACATACACAACCAACTCCTTTTACTCTTTTTGAACTGTTTTATTTCCTTTTTCTGACTGTTTACAGTCAAATAGATTGTGTGAACCTTAAACCTAAGTATAATAACTGATTCACACACATCTTGAGCAAAGAAAAGTTAGAAAATGGGGAGGGGAAGTAATATAAAGGGAGGTGTATTCCTGAGGGCACCAGATTCCACCTAGGGAAGTGCCAGAATGTTGTATATTTTTGGAAATGTACATCTGTGATGTTCTTTTGCAATGTCAATCACAGTGACAAACTTTGAAAGAGCGATGTCTGCCAAAATTTAAAGCATAATTTAAGCTAGATCCATACTAATAATTCTAAGTAGAACTAAAGCAGTAAAAGCTTTAGAGTCTCTTTATATTTAAGAAGGCAGGGTTTTAGGTGGGACTAGATGCTTGTTTTATTCTATTTTAATTGCACAAGAAGCATTTTTGTAACTTGAACTTCCCAGTAATGCATTCCACTTCTCAACCCAGCCTACAGCCTAAATGGAAGCTCCCATCAGAAAATTAAAATGTTTGTCTGGATAAAATAACTTCTAAATGAGCCCTCTATTTCTTTTCGTTTCTTTTTGTATTTTCTGCAATGTAGCCCCTCGCAATGATATTAGTTCTAGTGTGGGAAAATATTATAATTGAGATCTGGTAAGTTATTTGCAGACTTCAAGTTTTTCTTTACACTGTGCTGACATTTAGTACGGCCCTGGTGAGGAAGACAATACTACCATTCATAGCTCTAGACGTAGATTTCAATCGACTTAAGCGGGCACAATGAAACTTGGTCATTCACTGGTTACCCATATTGTGTTCTCAAATTTTCTCTCAGCAAAAAGTATAATGACTCAGTATTGTATGGTTGCATAGACAAGGGCTCGGAACAAGAGACACTAGTTTTGTCTGACGGTGTGAGAAAGTCGTGAAGGGATCTTTTCTTCCAGATGGTGTTAAATTCAGCTGCCTTTTTAACATTGGCCTTGCACAGCAATCTGCTGCTCCCCTTTCACAAAGACTGCGCTTGGTTCCCACTAGTTAACATGCATACTCACGCAAACTGCAACTTCGCTCCAACTGTTTTACAATGCAGTGGTATGCTAAATAAACTCGATCCGGTTTCTGCCAATGTTAAAACTAGCTTTCAAAGAACTACTTAACTGATATTTACACTTCTTTTGACTTAAATGTACATGCCTTTGGAATATTTCAGATTTCAAAGAAATATCACCTTATTATAAGGTCATTGTAGAGATTACCTTGGACACCCTTCAGACCCATGTTCAGATACAGTACCTCTCTTCAACACACACAAATAAAACAAAATGTCAGAAATTTGATGTGTAATAGAAAAAGAAAAATTGGAACATGTTGCAGCAAGAGCAGTGGAACGGCAAAAAATAAAATGAAAATAATAACATTGAAATGCATTTTTATTGATCGATAAGTCATGTAACATTAGTATGATACAAAGCAAGTTTGATATGACAATGGCAAACACATAATTATAATATTGTTTATTTTCCTTAGATGTTATATTTAACACATTTACATAAAAGACCAAGATGTAGGCAAAAGCTTCAGTAATTTGACTCCATTGAGTGCTTTTAGTAAACAATAGGTTTCCCCAGCAAACATCTTATTGCCTTAATTGAACCTCCTTGAGAAAGAAAACCACACACTTTGTAATGTAAATGTTAATTGTAGTAGACAATGGTTCTAGGTAAATAGCACCCCTGGACATGAAGTAAATGAAAGGAATACAGGCACTTAACAATGAAAGGTTGTTTGCACAAACAGTACTTCAAATGTAAATAAACAAGGGTCTTCTCAACGGTCACTACAGTAGTAAAACTTTGGCACGTGTTCAGCAGCCAAATTGAGAATTTACGTTAATAAAATCTCTCAGAGTTTCTATCTGAAACTAACAGTGGTTTTACAGGCTTCTCCAGTCTGCAGTCTTACAAGGAGTTGAAACTACAACGGAACACGTAATGGTTTTGAAGAAAAACTATATGTTTGGGATTTGGGATTGTCAGTAATCTAGGTCACATGGAAGATAACAGGTCATTTTGGACATTTTCTAATGCAATGTTTGTATTTATATATAAATGCCTATACAAACGTTTGATCGGTGACATGTGGAAAAATGTAAGGACTTCTATGAAAAGATTACAATGGGGACCTTTAAAATGCCAAAGGTTTCTGCTAAGCAGAGTCATTTTTAGATTAAAAAAAAAGACTGTTTAGAACACATCTAGCTGGTACTATACTAGAACAAACTTTTATCATATTATAATTAACACTTTTTAGGTTGATGATTTTATAATTTTACTTCCAGTGTGTGCCTACTAGCATAATTAGACCAAGTTCCTAGATATATCATGTTCAGAGGTAAACAGCCTGATGAAGTGATTATAATGTCTGTTATACAGAGACATATTTTAAAATATAACCCTCCCAAAACAAAAGCCAAAAGGTGGTCACAAGTAGGGACTGAGAATTTGATGTGAGGGGCAGGCAGTAATGGGACATTTTGGGAACTTTTCTACTAGCTTTCCTTAAATATTGAAAATCTCAACCGAAGAAAAAAGCCAAACTTAATTATGGCCAGATTAAACAGCGGTTATAAAATTAACAGAAACATACAGTACACAGCAGCTACAGACCAGTTGGTACTGCCATTTGGGAGGCTGCCGATGGCTGTGGGTGGGAAATGCCTCTACTTTCTTAAGCGATGGAGATGAGTATGGTGTGTGTACTTGATGTTTTTTTCATACCCTCACCCCCCAACAGGGCTGTCTGTCATAGGCTGCCGGCCCCGCTTTACCACTTGCCCCCGAGCGTGGGAATCGGAGCGTCCTGCCGTTCACATCTCCTGCATTCCGTTTAGCGGAATCAATTAGGCAAGACAGACCCTCAGATTCCCCACCCCCTTTCCATTTTTGTCAGGTCTATATACGTCCTAATTATTTCAGTTTGGGATGCCAGAGCTGTTTCCTGGATAGACCTGATCATCCTTAAACAAAAAGAGAGGAGGCGCACACGTGGGTTGTGGCGTAAATGTCACTTTCATTTCCAATGCTAGGCGCAGAGTAAGACAGAACATTTTTTTAACACTTTGACAAGAGGGGAGGCGATCTCGTCTCCATCATGTCTTTCTGCTTCAGTAGCTTCCTCAAGGAAACCCTCTTGGAACACAGAAGCATCTGTCCTTGTATTTTGAATAGAAGAATAAAAAATCAGCCTTTGCTTTTTTTTTTTTTTGCATTTTCCTTCCTAGCTCTATGTCCTCAGTAGATACAGATTATTAACCTTCCAGTATAAACTCTTCTGAAAGTCTAATTTCATATAATTTGACATACAACCCAAATACATGCAGTTTCCAAGCATAATCTTCAAATTTTTCAGGGGAGGGGCCTCGTTAAGGAATAGCCTAAGTCTACGTATATGGAATCATATTCAAACTAGGTACCAGACATCTCTACAACAGCTCTCTAGGAAAAACAAAAACCCTCCATTTATAAACTTTTACCTTAAAGTAGGACAAACTACATGTGCCTCTTTACTCATTAGCACTATACAACTCTTCGCAGCTGTAACAACCTCACAAAATATCGGCACCTTAATGTTTTGGCATACGTGTGTCAATTTCCTCTAACCCCACCTTTCGTCATAAGGGAAAAACAAACACAGAAACAAAGTTAGATTCAATAAGTATTCCTGACCTTTCTGGTTTTTACTGTCTCTTGGTTGCAGTTCATTCTCACACGCTCCCCGGCGATCTTGAAGGAGTTTTTACTTTCGGTTATCTAGCTTTATGAAGACCAATACACTCATACAGCTAGATAACCAAAGATAACAACTCGCTTCCCTCACAGCCTCTGTCTTCTTCTGCCCAGACTCCAGATCCAGATCTTTCTGGCAGTACCGAAGAGTAAGTAGTCCTCCAGGATACTTTGCCGCGCAAAAGATTCCTCCTTGTATGTAAATATGACCTGGTTTCTGTCTGTGTGTGCGGCTAGACATCCAAACGAGAGCTGTTGCTTTCAAAGTTTATTCCGAACTTTTTTTTTTTTCCTTTCAGCAAGTAATCTCCAGCAGCGTTAGCCAACAATTCATCTATTAATATCAGAAAATAAAGCCAGCTATTAAGGTGCAGCAAGCGGTTAAGAGTAAGCAGCATATCCGTCCCTTCACAGGCCTCTATTTGCATTGTAAATTGCTTCCTTCTCACGCAAGACTCCTTAGCCTCCCTCTATAGAGACGTATAAAGCCAACAGCAATTTCCAGCGCAGGTTAAGGAGGAAGGGAAAAAAAAAATCCCATTCTATAGAAGAAGTGACAGCTGATTCAAGGATCTGCTCCGGATCCTTTTGGTTTAGGCACCATGAGCTTTTTACCAAGCGGTGGCAGCTTGATTGCACATATCTTGTGTGTGTGTGTTTTAGGGGGAAGATCCTCGATTTCACAGGGCTTCTAGGCTGGGGAGGAGAAGATGCCGTCTTGCTGGTGTGCTGCTGCCCCGGCTCTGAAAGAAGGAGAAAAGGGCCATCATTGGAGGGGCTTTCACTGCCAAAATGTGGACCAGCCCGGCAAGGTCAAAGGTTCGAGACCGCAGGAGACCAAGGTAATGATGATGTCATGAGAAATCTCAAGTACACGGTTATTGATATGCATCAGTGATCATCCAACTGCCCCACGCCTGCTGCCCGAGCAGAGGTAGCGGCAGCAGCAACGGCAGCATTTCAACAGCCCTGTTTTCTCAATCAATGTTTCTTCCGCTAGCACTACCGCCTGCTCCTGGAAAAGCAACCCGCGCCCTTTTACCTCCTCGGTGCTAGTGCAGATCGCTCTAATATCCAAAGACTGGAAGAAATCTCTCTCTAAGGACAGATAAAAGCATTTCAGATCTGGGGAACATCTTTACCTGCATTTCTCTTCTGGCAGATTGCATGGGCTGACAGATGGAAGGCACTTGGCGATTGCTTAAAGCAGGGCCTTGCTTTCTGGGGCTGGGAATCAGATCTGTATTACGCAGTGAGTCGATGTGTGATTACATTGACAATTTGCTCTGGTGGTGTGTTTTTAATGGCTTCATAGTTCAGGCATGTTTTGTATCTATGTACCGTGGCGATAGGGCAGCGTATTTTGTTCTGTAAGTTCAAAGTGAATGCTCTAAGCAAGCTGACTTCATCCTGGTTTTAAAAAAATAACTGTATACAGGGTGTGCCTTAGATTGTAGCACAGGTAAACACTGTAGCAATAGTTTCTAATGTTGTACACAACTCTGCTGTAACAAAAATGCTGAGGCTTTGTCTGTGGTTTCAAACATCAATTTTCATACAGAAGGGCAAAATGTACTAGTCTTCCTTATGAAATAATTTTAAAAAGGATTGTTACCTCGTTAAAAAGACAGATAAAATACCTGGATGTTTTAACTCTGCCCCTACAATCCCCTTCCCCACCCCCACCTCTCTTCTGTCTAGAGAGGAATGTTGTTTTATTAATTAATTAGCCTCATTCTTTTTCTTAGGACTTTTCAAAGTGTGAGTATGACCACTTAAAGACCTCTCTTCTTCTTCTCCTTCATAATGGGTAATCTATGTCTAATGCACCTATGACATGTACAATTCTAACAGTCAGATGTCCCTCAGCAGAACATCTGTCCACATAAAATGCATATTCACCATGGGTGAGCTTTATGGACTGTTATGAGTTATGTTTGGTGCTGTTACCATTCTTTAAATATATGCTACAAGCAAATGTCATAAATCTTCATATTCATTTCACACATCACTAGTTTATCACAATACTCTCATTTTCATAGGTTGACTATTTCCCCCATCACTAAAACACTTTCATAATATACACTCTTTCATTAATTCAGTAATTTATTCATTTAAGACGTGTGAATATGGTTATCAAATTACAGAGCGCACATATGTAAATCCTATAGAAAAGACTGACAAGTAAAGAAAACAGAATTGCTAAGAAAAGCCCCCAATTAAGAGTTCAAACAACAATATTACACCAATTAAATATGTAACTTAGTAACACGGATGCCAACTTTTCCTTAGTTTTTTAGTAATTTACTTTTTTGGTGAGCATTCTTGTCCTGATTATTTAGAAAAGACTAAGCTATGGAAATTGCTCATCTATTTTTCTTTTCAAATTTTGAAACAAGGAGTACAATCAGAAATGGCTGCATTGGGTTGTATAAAAAACATACATGCAAACTACGAACTAAATCAGAGAAACACACACCCATAGAGTTACTGTTCCTTCTTGAACTATGAGGCACAACATAAACTACTGGATAAAAATTGAACACATCACTGAGGCACATGCCACTTTTGACATTATGTAAAACCCTAATGAGCTTTGCTTCCTTGGAAGATTGAGAGTATTTTGGCCTTGCTTTCCAAGACCTAGAAGCAGAATCATTAGTGATTTGGCATATACTACATAAAAGAAGCATATGATCAGATGAATTCAATTCCTTAAATCAAACCCCAAGAAATGTCAGATATTTTTAGAATATCTTTTTGCTTTATATATGTCTGCATGGGGGTTGGTGAAAGTAGAGAGATGTGAGGCAGGTATGTCTGTGTGTGTATCACCACCATATTTGTGTGAATTTGCAAATTAATGTGACTACATTTCCACATTTAACAATTAAATGCATTTTTAGAACCCAAGTAACTATCATGAAAGCCAAGACACTGAACATCTGAGACGCTTCTACAATTAGAAGCTACAGCATATACCGTCTTAAAATAGCATCTTCTGTGGCAATGCCACATAGTCATATCAACTAACTCCAGGACTGGCCCCTTGCCTGTCACATACATTGTAGATTCATTATGAGAGTGCCAAAAAGTGAATTTATCCAGTGTAATGATTATGGGCAGTCTGTTCATTAGCCATATATAGCCAATTAAATGTTTTACCTCTCCATCATCTTTCAAGGTATGAAGAAATAAAAGATACATAGCAAGGCTTAACACTGAGCACCTGGGTATTCTGAATATTGCCAAGATTTATCATACACATTTCAAGGACTGTATTATTATCTAGGATGTGAGACAAGTTGAAACAATTATGCTACTCTAAAGATTCTTAGCAATGTCTGCCATACATTGTTGTGAGCAACTATTAACACCTACAAGTTGTTATTTCAGTTATTTTTGCTTTCAAAAAGCTATTTAGCTGAGCTACAGAATACCCTTTTTGAAATCTGCATATTGAAGGATATACTGAATTCATATGGCTTGCCTACTCATTCTCTAATAAATTCCCATTAATGGCCAGTAGATTAGGACATGATTGTCATGCTTGTTTTCTAATCTTTTTGTAGGTCTCCAGATAGCTGAAACATGAAACATCCTGGTTTTCTTGGAAATAAACAATCTCTGCTTAAGTTAAAAGTGAAAAGTTATGATTTTCCACATATTTAGATCAGAATTATGCTATTCCATAAATGCAAATACATAAGGTTTGCCACTAATATTTAGAACATCTCTCTGAATCCTGTTCAGACCTCTGCAGAGTATATAAAGAAATTGGCCTATCACCGAATTCCCTTTTTAATACTGAGTTTGTATGATTCTCAAGCATGTAAACCACAGTCCACTAATACAGTCAAGACTACCATTTTCCACATAAAAGTCATTTAATTTATAGCGATTTGTATAGTTCAGGCAAGGTACTTGAGTGGCTTATTTTCTAATAAAAGTGTCCTATTATTTCTTCTGTATCCTGAATTTCTTTTTTATAAGCAGTTAAGGTTATATTTGCATTATCCTTGATATATAATATACATAGGCTACCTCTCGGGAGAAAACTGCACATACTGGAAACTTAGATTTTTCTGGAATTGTTTCTATTGCCTGAACTGGGAGGTAAGCAATACACTGCAGGTCTGTCACCCAGTAAATAATATTCTATTTTTATTTTGTACATCGCTTTAATTTTATCAAATGTAAATTTTTAAATTACCTTTGGTTGGTTGGATTGTCTATTCATTTTATGCTTCTTTGTAGTCTCATCTGAAAAATAGTCAAGAAAACAAATGATCACAGTTTTATATGTATATATACACACATACATATACTTATATATATAATCATGGCTTCATTTACAGTACTGCAATTACCAGGATTCCTTAAAATGCCAAGACATTCCAGAAAACCCCAGTACAAGATATCCTGTGCTCCAGCACCCACAGAGTTAAATATGCTAATTTGCATTTAAATGGAGACATGCATGATAATGGGAATGCAAAATATGCAGAATCTGGAGGGGTTTGGGAAATTAATTTTTTTCTTTCTTCTTTTATTTTTAGCTTGGAAGAAAGAGGGACTCTTAAGAAACATTAGGGATTTGAACATTGTAACCTGCCATACAAAAGAGGAGGGAGAGTTCTCCCATGTAAGAATCTCAAGACTGGAACAAAAGTCATATTTTTTAAATGTTTAAGGCACTGAATTTCCAGGCCTTTCAAACAATGGGAATCCCTGGATAAATATCTAATCCATTAGAAAGATGCAAATAGTTTACTGTAAGGCCACACAGCACGGTGAGATGTGCATTCATATCTATGGCTCCTGATTGGCTATTTCCTCCAGTAAATCAATGAATAATGTAAAACCTGATTGCTGTAAAGTGGTGGATTTTTTTATTCCCTTCCCCCATCCTTCCTTGACTCAATGTTCAAGAAGTCTTACACTCCCGAAAATAGGTGCGTTTCTTTTATGATTTTTTTTAATGCTTATTGTTATTTTGGAGTGGCCAGGGTGGGGCTACCGGTTTTGCAAAATGAAAGTACTGCACTGGTTCAATTACGCTGACTACGGGAGCTCATTTCTCGAGACAGCGCCCGAACTACTGGTGCCAAGGTGGGGAAGGAGGGTGGCCGGCAGAGGTAGGCACCACGGTAGGGAGGAAACTGGATCCGACCCCGCCGCTCTAGGCCCAAGGCAGCCACAGCTCCCAAAGAGCCCCCGGCCGTGGCCGTGACTTGACAGAGCCTCCGGACTAACTTCTGATCAATTCCACTGCTGCCCTGACCCCTCAAGACAGTTCCCCATTCAAACACCGCGGGTACATTTGCAAGAGAAAACGTCGCAGACACTAATGCAAATACATTGCCTGGGTTCCCACCGCCCTGGGTTCCCTCAGACAATTCCAAGCCAAGGAAGGAAGGTCTTGCCTCCCTCAGCGGGGCCTGGGCTCCTAGCAAACCGCTTTCGCTCAGATACCAGGAGAGTCAGAAGCTGAAACGCTCCAATAAGTAATCGCGATGGTTGCATCTTGATGAATCTGAACTTGGGATAACACTGTAAAGCGGCCTCTCGCTTCCCTGAATCCAAAAGGCAAAGAGAAAAAGGAAGTGGAAATCCACCCAGTTCTAGTTAGCTACTGTATATAAGTTTCCACCAGAATCCCATCAGACCCTCATTTCACTGCCAGGTAACTGCAACTTTGAGGTGGTTAAAAAAATTGTTCAAAATGCGAATCCTGAATCCAGGAACGCAAAATACAATTGCACTTGGCTCTAGGTTTAAGAGGGAAAAGTCGCACTATCAACAATACAAAAATTACATACAAAATTCCCCTTTCCAACGCGAAAATTTCCTGGAATCGCTCTTCAATTGGGGGGTCAGGCCACTGGATAATTAACAGTCCTGGTTCAGACAACTCACGAGATCAACAGGTCTAGCATCGAAACACACAATCAATTAGCTGAAGCAAAGCCCCGGACTGGCCCTCGGAGCGGCCCGCAGCGGGCCTCTGCGGACACCGGCTCGCGGGCGAGGTGAGGAGCGCGGGCGCCGGGCCGCGGCAGGCACTGCTGGCCGCGCGCCGCCGGCCGAGTTGCCGCCTGCGGGCCGCCAGGATACTCACTTGCTCTCGTCCCTGCGCCAGGCAGTGTTGCCCCCCAATCCAGCTGGGCAGGAATCGAGGCGCCGGCCAGAAGACAAGATCCAGAATCACAGGGCAGCCGCAGTACACAAACAGCCTCCTTTCGGCGTCTCGAAAAAAGAAAAAAAATTTTCAGACCATCCCTCTCCTTCGCACATTTAAAACTGCCGCTCAGTTCCACACGGTGATTCTTGCTTGATTGCGTCTAAAATAGTTTAAACGGATCTTCCCTTCTGGGGAGAGAGAGAAAGGCGCAAAAGACGAAGGAGGAAAAAAAGCCAACTTTTCCCCCCCACGCCAGGCACTTGCTCCCTGAGCCTCGGAGTGGAGAGTGAAGTGGTGTGTGCGAGGCTCGGCAAGTTTTTGGGGGGGCTGTCCAAGGTCTAGTCCAGCCCCCTCTGCCGAGGAGGACGTGCTCTGAAACTCAACCAATTTCCCCACTGCTTTTGTTACTGATGAACTGAAGCCCTATTGTTCATCCATTGCCATGGTCTTTTTCAGTCCCCACACTACGTTCTGCGTTGCCAGAGATAATGAATTTGCACCCAAACCTCTCATAGTCCCCTCCTGACAGACGGAACAAATTAGAAATGTCTCGTCTGAAGGAGGCAATAGCTACATTTTCCTATTGTAGGAAGCAAAGCACACATTTCTTTGGAAACTTCTTTTGCCTTTTCTGCCTTTTATTTCCTTCTCCCTCTTTTTCTTTTCTCCTCCAGTTTTTTTTTCCTCTTGATTTCTTTAGACTTTTTTTTTTTAAAAAAGAATAGCCCTGTCTTGTTTTCCCAATGCATGATTTTTATGTAACTTGTGGATCTTTTCTACCTTCCTTCTTTCCTCCCCTTCTTTCTTTTTAAAGGACTCCTTTGCAATTTTATTTACAAACTTGGAGAATGACCTTTTGACTTGCAGACTTTTTTTTTTTTTAAAGAAAGGTCTTTTGGTTCAAGTCCCCCTTCCTCACTCCTCCTCTTCTTTTTGTTGTGGTCCTTAAATGTGTTTGGCTAAAGACAGTAATACATTATAAGGATTTTTATTCTTTAAACTCCAGAGCTATTCAAAAGGTACGAGGGACGCTCCATAGGGGTTAGCTATTTGAGGGGGAAGAAAAGCGTGTGTGTGTGAGAGTGTGTGTGTGTGTTCCAGGGAAAGAGGCAGAGAGATGTGGGAGGGTGTGGGTGGGAGTGTGCAGGGAGAGAAGGGTGGGAGCCTTGAAGAGAAGGTGGGCTTCCTGGAACGCGAGCCGGGAGGCTGTCAGGGGTGTAGGCGCTAGGGGGAGGTGCGAGAATCCGTCTGCCGAGGGCGGCTTGCACCCCTGGGCCTGTTCGCGCGCCCCGGCCGGCCGCAGCCTGAGCGCGAGTGTCAGAGCGCGCGGGCGCCTGTTCCGAGCCTGCGCGCGTGCGACAGGGGGCGGGAGGGGGGGGCTGTAAAAATTCTGACGAGTGGCCCGTATGTAAATGCGGTCCAGGGGGAGCGGGGAGGAGGTAATGAGAGCCGCGGGCGAGCAGCCCCGCCGGCGGCCCCCAGCTTTCCCGCCAAGTGCAGCGGGAGGACAGACAGCCATGCGTGTCCTTGGCGGGAGGGCCCCCGCCCGCCGCGCCCGCCTGCCCCCGCGCACACGCACATACTCCCATCGCCTGCGTGGGGCCCGGTGGCCACGAGCATGTCAGGAAAACAAAGCTAGGGCTGCGAGGTGGAACGAAGAAACGGCAGCCTTGGAGGCCAAGGGCAGGACTGGGAAGCCAACACCGCGGCCTCCGGCGCCCCTTCCTTGCCGGCCCGTAGCCCGGCCCTCCGCTCCTGGCTCTGCACAGCCCTGGCCCAGAAAAGGCCGAGGACCGTTTCTTAGCTGCCTAGGAGAGGGTGGCAAGCAGAGGCAGGGGCGGATGTGCGCAGGGAGGTGCCAGCGAACCCCGCCGGGTGCGCGGACACGCACACACGGGCGCGCGGGGCAGGGTTGGGGGGCGGAATCTGAAGGCCTCCCTGCCGCGTAGCCAAGAGCCACTACCTCCTCGCAAAGGCTGCCGAGCTCCAAGTGAAAAGTACACCAGGCTAAATCCGGCAAGACAGCGCCCGGGCCTGCGGTTACCGAATCGCTCGCACCTCAAGCCCCCCTCCCCAGACAATGTAATCGAAAGGGCCTGGCTGTTCAGAGACAGCCTTCTCTGACCCCTCCCCCTTCAAATGGGTGTAACTCGAACTCCAGCCCAGGATCTCTGGCCTAGATGGCCCCGAAGATAAGTCCCAGAGGTGGCCGTGGAGAGACACTGATCTCTCGTTCGTCTCGCTCACAGCGCCTGCCTCGGTGCTCACCAGCCCAAGCACCTCCCCAACACACACACGACACTCGCATCACATTGTAACTCACGCTCCAGGCATGGCTGTTAATGAAGCCGACGCGCTTAATGAGTGCACAGGTAAATAGGTACCGAAACGAGAAGCCCCCACCACTCGACTGGGCGATTTACCTCTCCCTACTGGAAACACGTGTAGCTTATCGTGTTTTAGGAGTGATTTGCTCTTGTCTGAGGTCTCCCCCTCCTCTTCTTGTGGAGAGAAGCCAAAAAAAAAAAAAAAAATCATGTTCCATTGTCAGAGTCTTCTTTCTGATAAGCTACCCGAGCATTGGTCTAAAGCATTTGGGGAGCTGATTGATTTGGTTTGTTATCTGTTGTTTTTGGTTTGTTGTTTTGGGGTGTGTTGTTTTTCTGAGGGAAGCAAGAGAACGTGTGTTTGGTGGGGCTGGAGGTGCAGGACAGGAGCCTGCGGTGCGGCCTGAAGGCTGGCGAAGCTGGAAGCCGAGCAGTGGAGAAAGAAGGCGGCGGTTCGTCCTCCCCCGGGGTCGACACACGGGTTCCCTTGGCCCTCTCGGGCCTTGGATCTGCCACCGCCGTTGCCGCCGCGCGAACGAGCGGGCTCCGTCGGCTGCCGCTCCGTGTTTTCTCCCATCCCGGCTTCACGTTCAAGGTTTAGCTGCGAGGTCACGTCCATTGACGTCAGCTCCCTGTCTCCCTCTACGTCCGGCTACATTTACATACATCAAGGAAATTAGGGCATTAAAAAATATGCAAATTCTGCGCGAAGAGGAGCCTGTGCATTCCTGGCGCGATCGCCTTTTATTGAAGCTTTTAATTAAAGGGGCTAGTTGGCGAGCCCCTGAAACAACCGCCAAAACCCCCAAAAGAGAAAAATAAACGCTGTAGCCTTCGGGAACGGTTGTTTCGGCTCCTGTTCTGTGGGCGGTTGAGGACCGCCGGCTGCCCGGCTCGGAGAAGAACAGGTTAGAGGAGGCAGCTCCAGCCCATGCATAATCAGGGCTCCGCGGCGCCTCCATTCTTTCCTCCTCCTCCTCCTCCTCTCCTCCTCTCCTCCTCCTCCCGCTCCTGTTGGTTCCAGCGTGTATTATTTTTAATACTGATGCATATGTAAAAGGTATATTTGCATTTTTTAATTCGCGAAAAGTTCAGGTTTATCGTTTTATTGATTCTCTCCCCCACTTTTTTTTTTTTTTTTTGCTATCTTATTGTGTCTCTCTGTCTCTCTTGTCCCTTTCTATCTGTCTTTATTTTTTGGCAAGTGTCTGCTGCTGTCTCTTGCTAGATAATATGTACAGTTGCCTCCCTGCTTCTGTTTATTTAAGGCTCCAAATATGCACATCTGTCATGTATGTAATGCCAGCTGTATAACCTCCTGGTTTGGTCATAAAAGAAAAGACACATTTTTTTTTTCTTTCCTGACATACCCTCCTTGATCGGCTGTGATGCCCATCGCTCAAGGCTCAAAGTTTGATTGTCTAATTAACTTCATATTAGCAAAACAGTTTGGGCCAGTGCATTTGAGATAATGTATGTATAAAAGAAAGTGACCCCAAAGATTTCTAAAGAATGTTTGTGCTGATTAACTGAGAGGTGCAGCATTCATCACCCTATTGCTTTCTAGCATTTCTTATTGCAAAAAAAAAAAAAAACTATTTTAAAATGTGTAGAAACAGCAACGGACAGCCTTCTGCAAGGAAGACATTTTCAACCATGTTGTATGTTGTACCTTATCTGCTTCATTCAAAATTTATTGAATTTCATTTTTATCTTAATATGACTGGAAACAAGGCATATTATCTTGATTCAAAAGCATCCTTAGTTCCTGACTTTGGAATTAAAACAAATAAACAAAACAGTTTACTGTATTAAGCCAGTTGATTTGCCCTAAAATACACAGGCCTTGAGTTAGATTTCAAGCAATGGAAATCTTATTCATAGGGTCGAATTTTTCTTTCTGGCAATATGTCTATTCAGCACAATGGCTTCTGAAAAATATATATGTATAAAGTCCACTTTAAATTTTTCCACAAAGCTATAATTTTAAGAAGACCGAATCCACAACTGCACAGCCACAAAGAACAGCAAAAGGCACACATGCAGCTTATTCAATTAAACAAATCCGAGTACATGCACAGGTAATTAGTTTTCTTATGAATGACTTACCTGCACAGATACTCAGGGCAAGACTCACCCTCCCCAATGGCTTTCATGTATAAATATTCACATGTATTTTCCCCCATTTTAAAGCTACAGCTCTATGCCATCTTTCATGCTGGGCTATCCAGCATCCATTTTTAGCACCCTTAATTCTTATGGCATTTCCAGCCTTACCCTTGGCTGTAGTTTTTCCAAGCCTACACCAAAGTGCTCTTATGGTATGTTACCCAATAAAAAGTGGTCAGATGGCTACACGTAAAACATTTAAAAATGGAGATGCACTTATCCTTTAGGTTTGTCCCTACTTTGCCATATATAGCAAGATTACATTTCCTAAAGTACATTTTCAGCACATTTTATGAACGGTTGCAGAATTGCCAGTTTCTGGGGGGCACCCGGCTGAGTGAAACAATTCAGCAGGTTAAATGTCTCTTCGAGTTTGGCTGCAATCCAATCGCGCATGGCGGTTTGTTCCTACCTGGACTCTGGCACATACCTGCCCGCCTTTATGCAGAAATCAGGACAAACACACCAGCCACGTTGCAGGGCATACAGTGGCGGTGCATATATTTAGATGGTAGTAGCAAGGAATGTTCTTGTAGGGATGTCTGTGCATGCATCTGTGTACAGACGCGTGTGTGTGTGTGCGCGCGCGCGCTCGCGCTATGTGACAAGGGACACAGAGAGGTACACCTCTTATCTCTGATCTCTCTGTAATCTCCTTTTCTGTTTCTAATCTCCCTTATTGGCGCATGGTAGTAACCTGAAGCCTCTGAACCGTCACCATCACTGCCGTGTGCGCGCTGTAGCTTACCCCAGGGGCCTGCGGCTCGATGGCTCGCTGGTTCGGTGGATGTTGTTGTGGAGGGTGGGTAGCGCCGCTGCCGCTGCCACCGTGGGTCCGGGTGCTCTGTCCCAGCCCGGCAGCCAAGCGCGCGGTGCCGGAGCCCCCTCCCACCCCGCCCTCACCCCCATCCTCCCCTCCCCTCTGCGCCTCCTCCCCTCCCCGCCCCCCCTCCCCGTCCGCCACGTATTACCATATGGAGGCCGAGTCCCTGCGAATCACAGCAGCAGCGGGCGGTATTTGAATAAGGCCCGCAACCCGCACAGACCCCTACTCTCCCGCAGGCAGCGTGCCCAGCACCAAGGGCCAACACTCCGGCCGGTAACCTGTCAGCGGCTGACACCTCCCCAAAGTGCCCTGGGAGCGCGGGAGGGAAGGTGTTGGGCCTCCCACTTGCTACTTTTATGTTAACTTGGCTGATAGGATCTGACAATAAATAGGGGAGGGGGAAACAGAGAGAGATACACACGGAGAGATGGGGGGGTGGAGGGGAAGAGAAGAAGGGAGAGGAAAGAGGAGAGGCGTTTGAGGGGGGGAAGGGGGAGAGAAAGAAGCTGAGGACAGGGGCAAAATCGGGGAGAGGAGCCCAAAGAGTTGAGTGAAAGAGGGAGCAAAATGGGGAGGGAGTGGGGAAACGATGGGAGGGGGAGAGTTGCCCAAATATCTGAATTTGGACTCTCCAAGCTAAAAATACCACCTCACTGAACTTCACAACCTCCAATTAGACACGTGTTTCTCCCCTCCTCCCACGTCACCGAATGATTAATTTGCCATCTCAATCAGAAATAATTATTTAGAATTGTATAACAGATATAGGACTTAACGAAAGGAGCCAATTTTGGGAAACAGCGAAAGGCATGACATTTAAAGATGATGTTGGCCACCTCACATTAAAAATTTAAGGCTTGCCTTGAAGACTCTGGCACTTGCCCAGCCTTGTCTTCTGAGATAGCGAGACCGAGGCCCAGAGTCAGAAACAAGAGGTTTTCCGAAATATTTTGGACTTTAAGTAAGAATTTTTCCTTCTTCCTCTTTGGCATTTGATTGTTACATTTTTCTCCTACACGAACTGATTACGTTTACCAAAAGAAAATGTAGATAAAGTGTGGGTCTTTTAACATTTTTACTGCAAAGTATCCCCACATCTTAACTGAGGATATGATTTTAAACGTTGGTTTAAATACATAGCCAGTTCCATTTTGCATACTAATTCTTTCAATAACTTGAGATTCCGAACTTAGCGTTTTCAATACGGTCCCCCCCTCCCTATCTTCAAATCGGAGCAGGGATTTCCCAGTACAGAATAATCGGAATCATAATAAAATCTCCAGTCACCTAGAGGATGTACCCATTGTAAATATCCTCTCGGTATTCAGAAGCCAAACTCCCCTCCTTTTGAGACACACACAAAAAGAACTCTTCTGATTAATAATCTCTCACGCGGCACACCGAGGCTGAAGGCCGGGAGCCGCAGGACGCCAAAGAAGGGGGCAGAGCTCTCAATACCTAGAATTTCAATACAGATTCCAAAGACGTGCTAACTGCTAGGTTTCCGAAGGGGAATAATACTTGGCAAGCAGTGCTTTCGGTGAAGACAACCGCCTCCAAATACTGACTCCTTCCTGGGTCGGGGGAGGGGGGCGGTCGCCGTTACCCGGCATTTCTGCGTACAGACGTGCGTACAACATGGTATGTAGCTCATGCATGTGGCCAGGCCCAGGTTTCTTTCTTTTCTTTCTCTTCTTCCTTTTTTTTTTTTCCTTTCTCTTTTCTTTTTCTTTTTTTTTTAAGGCAAGAAATCGAAACCAATCCACTGTTTCTGTGGCTAGCTCCCACGAAGCTGGGATTTCAACCTCTTGTTTATTTTTAAAGCCAGTGTGGCGCCCCGGTTGAATGTCCGGCTCGGGATTTTACCAGGATGGTCCCAGTGCCCAGTCGCTACCCACAGCACGTGAAAAGAAGAGAAAGGAGGGAGAGTTGGTGGCTTCGAGCCGCTTCCGTCGGGGCCCCGCGTTTTGCCCCAACAGACTCCTCTTCCTTCTCTCCCCGAAGGCGCTCTCTTAGGCCGGCCAGTGTCGCTGCGGTCTTGGCCAGGTGAGAGAGGGGACGGTCCCCGGGGGCAGCGGCCCTCTCTCGGGAGCTCTGGTGGGTCTGTGAACCCACCGGGCACGGAAGGCTGAGTGGCTCGGGGGTCCAGCGCTGGGCTCCCGGCTCCGGCCAGCAGGGGAACAGCGACACCTACTGGCCTCGCGGGCACCGAGTCGAGGCCGTCGGGGCGGCCCTGGGCTGGGGGTACCCGGCTGCTTGGACTCTGGAGGCCGCAGGAATCTGCGCCCAAGGCTCGGCCCCGCCCTCTAGGCCTCGCTTACCCCGGGAAAGGCAAAGCTCCCCTTTCTAGAGACCCCTAGGGGGACTGCAGGACGGGCCTGCACACTCGCGCGGGCACATACGCCCTCCAGCCCGAGGCTCTTTCTTCTGGGGAACCGAGGGACCCGCAGACACAGTTGGCCACCGTCTCCCGGTTGTAGGAGAGACCCAGCCAGAGGTTGGAGCCCTGACCTCTCCGGGTTCATGACCCAGGCCTCTTCTCCACCACCCCCATTTCAGTGCTGAGTAAAGACGGTATCTTTACAAATTAGGAACCGAGGAGAGTTCATTATCCTCCCTTAAGAAGGGAAATGTACGAGTCAAGGACACAACACGCGCAGTGGCTGGCGCCAAGCGGCCGGCCGAGCCCTCCTGCTAGCTAGCCTCGGGCACGTTGAGCGCACCCTCACCGCCGCCGGCGATTGAGATTTGGTAGCTTTCCTTTCAGAATTATGATCTTCTTAATTACACAGGAAGTAAAGGCAAATTTAGGGTGATAGTGATATTTTGAGACCTAAGGGCAGATGACTAGATAGATGATAGATAGATGATAGATAGGGAGAGAGAGATATCCTGCTAAATGTAAATGTGAATGTTTCGATTGTTAGCTTCGGTTGGGAAGGGTGGGAGAGAGTGCCAAGGGAAGGCGAGGCCCGAGGAAAACCTAGCAAGGATGGGGATGAAAAGAAACCAAATAGTGTATTCCAGACTTCCTTTCTCTGCTCAGTCTTTTCTATCAAGGAAATAACTATTTCCTATGCAAAGGAGAAGTAGGTGGTCCCACACTGTGTGGAGGAGGGAGGGCTCTTCTTCCCCAGATGCCTCCGTTTCCAGTGTTGGGTTCTGGGGCTCACCTGAGCCTGAGAAACCTGAGTGTGATTCAGGTGTTAACTTGCTTAAACATTAAAATATATTCCTTTGCCTAGAAAGATTGCGCTATTTGAACTAATTTGAATCCTTGAGATTTCCCATTTAAATTACTACTCATTTAAAATTCCAGAATTAAAAAAACAAACACTTTTCATTTAAAGTTTGAGTTCATCTTGGAAGTTATTTTCCTTATCTTTAGATACTGGTTGGAACTAGGGTCTAAAGTGTTTTGAGGAAAAGGGGAGGAAGGTCTTGTTAGGGCTAAATTTTTGTCTGCATTCTCTACAATTACAAAATTTTGCTAATTCTGTTTTGTTTAAATACAATTGGAATCCCTTAGGGACCCTAAAGTCAAGAGTTTTAGATCAAGATTTCTGCTTTAAAAAAAAAAACTCTTAAATGCTTATGAAGGCTGCTCTTCAACTCAGTTTTGCAAGTATTTTTTCTTTTTTATAAAATTTTTCTTCAAGTGTATCTGAATGTGTTCTGATAATATATGAATTCACATCCCAGAGCAGGCCCTTAGCAGTATGTATGATGTACGAATAAATCCATATTACTAATAATGAATAAAACAGAGCTATATTCTAATGACATTCTCTGTCAATGAATCCTGTACCCCACTGAATATCAAAGTCAGCTTTTTCCTGGTACAATGGAAATCTTCATAAAACAGAAAATGATTACAGAAAAATTAAATTACACTGGGCACACAACAAGCAAGTGTTAATCAAACCCAGTTCAGAGGTGTCTTTGGGTATTGAAAGCACCTTGAAAAATGGAGGGGTTGAAATGTTTTCCTTTCTTAAGAAGCATTCAGTTTCTAGAATGTAGTTTTATTTGTGACTTGAAGATCTTATCTAGAATGGGTTCTTATTGTTGATATTCTTTGGTTTTATTTAGTCTAAATATTGTTGATTTAACATTAAAGAAAATAGAAAATAGAATTTAAGTGTCAAAATAGTGGAATTTCTGTATATACCTAATCACCCCCAAAGCATAAGCATGTTAAACCCTAATTAAAGGACTATTTCTCTATTTTGAACAGAAAATTAGGCCAGTGAAATTGTTTCTATTCACAAGAAATATGAATGTATGCATATTATTATATTACATGTAGCATTTTATATAAAATGGATATATATATAAATATATAAACCATGGATATCCATGAATGTTACAGTGGATTGTTACAGTGTGTGTGTGAAGTAAGGGTGGAGACAAGGCTTCTGATTCTGTTTAGGTCTGCTTTAATATATTTCTCTTTAAATTCCTCTTATTTAGCAAGTAAATTAAGGAATGAAGACAGGCTAAACTGTCATTAGACTGTGTCTATGTTCCTTTGTCACACCTGCCCTCCCTCTGGGCTCACCTTGGAGGGTGTGTGTGTGTGTGTGTGTATGTACTTCCTTTCCTGCTTGTTGAGAAGCATGAAGGAAGGAAGGGATGCAAGGATGGGATTATTGATCAGAAAGGCACATCATTGAATGTAAAATGAGATGGAAATATTTGAAACCCTGCTAGATCCCAGCTAGATGGTTATCTGGGGTGGGGGGACTTGTGTGTGGTAGCTAGCAGGCTGATCACATAAATCACTTGGGGAGCAGGGAGAGGCTCCCAGTGCCTGGAGCGGCCTCCCTTTCAGCTGCGTTGAAACACGCAGGGGCTCAATGACGTTTGGCTTCAGGGAGTAGAGCTCCAAGGACACATGTGTGCATCTGGTTGGAGACAGGTGTGTGTGCGTACGTCTGTGTGAGTGTGTGCGTGTGTGCGTGTAGTGAGGAGTAGGTACTTCATCAAAAATTCATTGAAAAAATATTGACCCTAAAATTCTGCCATATCATCAATTGGAGTCAGGCACCAAGGTCACCAACATGTCCAGGGTCACTCATGGACCGCGGAACATTATTGCTTTTGATGGTACGAATATGGCTTCTTTCATGTCTTTGGTTCTCTATGGTACTTCCTTAGAGTGGGGCGAGGCTCTAGCCTCCCCCTCCTCTCTTTTGGATCCCCGCAAACAAAACCATTCTACCACTTGAGCCGTCTGCCGCAGGTGTAATGGATGGCAGGGGGCCGACCTAACCACACTTCAGTCTCTTCTAGGTCGTCCCCGCTCTGCACCAAACAAATGAGTCCTGTTTCGCCACTAGGGTGCCGAGGTGGATGGTGGATGCCGGCCCCCGCCCCTGGCAGCGTTCAGCGCTTAGAAACCAGAGCCAGCTGACAACACACGAAACACACAGGCACAGAGAAAACGCCGAGCCAACGCGCGCTCCCTCTGCCCCCTCCCTCTGCTCTCTGTACACATGGAGGACACGTACACAGCCTTTACACATTTAAAAGCCCTCGCGACTTCCTCTGAATTCTTGGTTACTTATGACGGCCTTTCCCACTGCACATTGCCCCTGGTGTGTGTGTGTGTGTGTGTGTGTGTGTGTTTGTGTGTGTGTGTGTGCGCGCGCGCGCGCGAATGTGCGTGTGTGTTTAAAACGCTTATTGGTAGGTCATCAGCAGCTGATCAGACATAGTAATCCAATAATCTTTTTGAATGCATACAATTTTTCGTTCAAGGTAATTTTTTAAAAACATAAAAAAGGAAATCTGTCGATTTCCTGTGCAAGTCTTGGGTTCCCAGTTTAGGTTCCAGGGAACCGCAGAGCTGCGCAGCACCCGCCTTGCGAAACTTTCCCTTTCCAAGATTTGAGCGAGGCGCAAATTTCCACTTAATGACAGAGCAGGGGCTGATTTGCACGCTAGTGTGTGAAAGAAGGGAGCTTGGGGACGCTCAGCATAGGGAAAGAAATCGGGTAGCGGGAACCCCCTGTCCTGTAATAGCTTGGAACCCTGGCGGAACGCACAGGGTGCCCCAGGACAGGAGCCGGAAGTCCAACCTTCCCAGGCGCAAAGCACCCTTTTGACCCCGGCCCTCTGATCGGATCCCTGCCGGCCGCACCTCACCCCACCCGCCTGCTCGCACCCCACCCCCATTTTATCCTCATTTGAGTAGCCCCAGGTAATGGTGTCCATCTCCCGGGCCTGGGCTATGGCCAGAGGCTGGACCACACCAGGAATCGAACTCCGCTGTCCCCAGAGTACTTACCTCGAGTAAGGCCCTGGCAAATGGTGGCCCTGAAGCGTCAAGTTTCCTCTCCCAGCCGTTGTGCCAGATTCTCCTTCTGCCTGCTGCTCCTCTCGGCGGACTCTCTCTCTCTCTCTCTCTCTCTCTCTCTCTCTCTCTCTCTCTCTCTCCCCCTCTCCCTCTCTCTCTCTCCCCTCTGTCACACACGAGGATTACTTGTGACTTTTAGAGGCAAAAGCTTGCTTATTCAGAGACGCGAGGGAGGGGAGACGGAAGGGAGGCGGGAGGGAGGAGAGAGAGGGGGAGACAGAAGTAGAAGGGGGATGGAGGATGTAGAGGAGGTGGAGAATCAGAGGTAGTGAAGGCGTAGGTAGAGAAGGAGGAGGGAGGGGAGGGGTAGGGTGGAGTAACCGAAGACGGTCTGGGATGGGACGGCGAGGAATACATTGCTCCCCACCCAGCTGCAGTGCGACGCCCCCAGCGTCCCGGGGGAGCAGGTGCGTCAGATCGCGGCTGGCTCAGGCGGGGCGGTACAAAAGCGCCGCGGGACCCCCTTCGCGAGCTTCTATCCCGCCAGAGCGAGCGCCGGAGGCCGCTCCACACTCGTGCTCGGACCGCGGAAGGCTCTCCTCCGCCCTGACGGAGGTGGCTGTCTAGGGGCTCCAAGCTCCACGGAACTTGGATTTCATTCCTGGGCTCCTGGCCACCCTCGCCCGCGTCTCAGACAAGAGCTGAAAGTCCGCGCAGCCCTCGTGCGTCCTCGCCCTAACTGCCGGCGCCCACCTTAGCCACAGCCCCTTGGCCGGGCGCCGCTCACCCGGGCGGCTGCCACACTGCCCGGGCTCAGTCAGCCTCAGCCCTGTGTCTCTGTTCACATTTGGGGCTCCCCCTCAGCTTGTTATTACGGAGGTGTGTGTGTGTGTGTGCGTGTGTGTCTGTGTGTGTGTGTGCGCGCGCGCGCAGCGCGCAAGCTCCAGGCTAGAAAGAAGGTGAAATCCCGGCACGAAAAAGTAGCTTCGGTCTCCCGCAGCTTGGAGCCCCGCGACCTAGTCCGATTATATCCAGTATATGAGATTACAGTCTGCAGCAAGGACCAAGGCGGGAGCTCACCGGATCATTTCAACTGAGTTTCTATACAGCAAGGATTGTTTATAATTATTATTATTAAATAAGAAAATAGGTTTTAAAATACAAAGAATAGTTGCAGAGACAGAAGGGGGTCATTTCTGGTCATGAATGAACCAAAAGTGGTTGAAAAAAATTTTTTTAGACAGGACCATCCATGATGCATAAAGGTGGAAGCCAATTCATTACGTGATGGGATTAAAAATTAGGAGCATGCTTTTCGACATAGACGACCCATTAGTTCTCTGTTAACTGCATTAAGCCAGCCCCATGGAACGATTACGTGGCCGCCTTCAATGTGCAAACACGGGGATACTACAGAGGGTGCGCACAAGCGTTTATAGAACTCTGTGTACACACACACATACACACATACACATTTATAAAGAGAAAAACTTCGAACATCAGCACCCTAAACTCATAAATACGTATATTTTCTCAAACAACTATCTCTTAAATATGGTAATTTTCCCGTCTTTCCTTGCTGACCTATGGATGCAATATTATAGTTATACTGTAGGCTACTCGGATCGACATAATTCTGCTTACATTTATCGTGGATGACACGTCATAAAATGCCAGAGGGGGAGAGGAAACCATGAGGGGAGGGGAGATGGCTTTTATTAACAATTATATTCTCCCCTAGCTGTTTAAATAATAGCAATGATGTCACGGTAACCATCCTCCTTCTCCCACTCCAGTGAAACTACTGGATGGCTTGGTGAACAATGCATTGTATATTTTGGTTAAGGGATTATTATTGCTATAGAGTTATATAGAGCCATCCTGTGGCATAAAAAAAATCTCTGAACATTAAATTATTGGAACATTTGGCGTGTTTTAGAACCCGTTTACCTGTCACATCTTGTTCCAGAATAAGGATTATAAAACGTTGTGCCCACCATAGTTTTGAAGGAAAATGAAACAAACGAAGTTGTTCTTTAAAAATTGTTAGTCATAGGCAAATAAAAATATTTCCCGTCATCAAAACGAGCTGGTGGGCAATCTGTTAGACAAGGATCATATTTTACTAATCCGAAATGGAGTTTTAAAAATTCTTTAGGAAAGCGGCGATAGGAGGGGAAGTAAGAAACATGCAGCCCCTAGCCCAGCCTGCACTCAGGGGTCGCTGGGCCAGGGACGCACGCTCGCGCACAGCGGTATCCCAGCCCTCGAGCACCCGCGCGGTTTGGGGCTCGGTTTCTGAGAATGAGGGCAATCTCCGTGGATCAGCCACCCGTTTAGAAATGGGTATTTGTATAAGGGCAACGTTCAGGCTATAGTACAATGGCATGATAGAGATAGAACTCATTTTTTAAAAATCATTTAACAATTGCTTAATAATTAAACTGCTCTGCTATTGAACACCATTTTGGCTCTTTCTTTGAAATTATCAGCCACAGTTTGCTTCTGAGACCTTAGGATTGAGTTTCTGGCAGAGGGGGTGAGGCTCAACAAGGCACAGCTTTGAGGTACAGAACAATTAATGTGAAAGAAAGTAATTGATTATCTAATAGGTAAAGGAGGAAAAAAGAAACTTTGGGTCACATTTAAATAGGGTTTACCAGTTTGCAAAAACTTTTCTTTTTGTAGTTTAAACAGCGAACTTTATAAATTCCATTCCTTTTCTTATTCTTTTAAATCATCTACAACCTCGGAGATTTTATCTTTCTTGCTAGCAAAATGCCCCCAAAGGCTTGAATTAGACGCCAAGCAGCCCCAACGATGTCTGGCCTGCCCCTTTTGAAGGTTTGGGACCCTTTATGAGGACTCAAGAAAAACCCCAAATCTGAAACTGGTTCGGCGGTGACTGCACTGAGTTTAAGTTATCAGTCTTTTAAGCACCGCGTGATCAGACTGGAAACGTAACTTGAAAACACAACCTGATTCTGGGCAAAATCATTTTGCCCTTTTGGCAT